AAATCACCGCCGTTGTGCTTTTGTGCCTTATGCGTACCTAGAGGGCTGTTTAGACGGATTTTAGCTTTCCCATCTAGATGTTCTTTTATGCGGACACAAATTGGTCTACCCTTTTCCCCAATATATTCCTCGCCGCATTCGTTAAATGAGATCAAATACATTATACCTAAACTCATGCAATCCCCGTCTCTCCCGTTAGGACAGATCATATAGTTTCCTGAGCTGCATAAACAATCATAGAGACGGTTTCGAACTAACTGACGGCGTAGGGTATTGGGTGGGATGTCAATAATCGTTACATAATTTTCAAGAACACTTTTTCTTAAACACTTTTCAATTCATTAAATTAAACTAATTTAAATTCATCCCAACCCATCTACCAAACACCAAAATATTTCTGGAAAACCTAAGGCGCGCGCAACTAAACAGCGCGCATGTAATGGAGTCATTTGATGTTACGTCACTTTATACCAACGTGTCCAATGACTCCGCAATGCAAGCCATTCTCGAGTTGCTCGTAGAGCATGAAAAGAAAATAAAAATGCACGGCTTGTCGATTGCGCAACTAATGACCCTCTTAGAACAGTGTCTTAGTTGTTCAATATTTAGGCGGTCTGGAAAATATTTTGTACAAATTAGAGGCTTGGCGATGGGGCAGCGTTTAGCACCAAGCCTTGCCATCGCTTTCATGTCTAAGGTGGAAGCTCCAGTTCTCGATCACCGACCCTTACTCTACTGTCGAAACATAGACGACCGCTTCATCGTCTGTTCCACACAAGAACAGATGGATGAGTGCTTTGAATTATTAAACCGACAGTCAGAGTATATAAAATTTACACGAGAAAAAAAACCTACCGAGAACTGGCTTCCATTATTAAACACCCAAATAAAGCTCTCAGTAAGTGGCTATGTAACAAAATGGTATCGTAAGCCAAGTAGTAAAAACATTCTAGTTCACTGCCTCTCCTCTCATCCTTCACACATGAAAAAAGCGCTTATCAAAAATATGTATCGTACGGCTAAAAATGTGTGTACAGGAGAAGTGGAAATGAAGGATTAGCAAAACCTGGCACGAAAAATTTCCATTTACAATGGCTACGAAGTAGAAGCCACTCGGGTTAAACAAAAACGTAGGGTAGTTCCCTAAAATAATGTTTCGGACGTAAGTAAGATCCCTTTGGGCTACCCTTCATATCAAATGAGGTAAGTCACGCCATTAAAAAGCGCTTAAAAAAAAGTGGTCCTAAAAATTATGTAACGATTGTTGACATCCCACCCAATACCCTACGCCGCCAGTTAGTTCGAAACCGTCTCTATGATCGTTTGTGCAGCTCAGAAAACTGTATGATCTGTCCTAACGGGAGAGACGGGGATTGCATGAGTTTAGGTATAATATACTTGATCTCATGTAATGCATGCGGCGAGGAATATATCGGGGAAACGGGTTGACCACTTTGTGTCCGCATAAAAGAACATCTAGATGGAAAAGTTAAAATCCGCCTAAACACTCCTCTAGGTACGCATAGGGCACAAAAGCACAACGATGGTTTTGAAGTGACTGTGCGGATCCTAGCGCAGGAATCAAAAACATCAACGCGCAAAACTCTTGAGGCGTTTTGGGTAAATTTCAGAAATCCAAAGATGAACCGGAAGGACGAATGCCTCACTATCACGCGTGACCTGGCGCCCTATCTCAAAACGATATTTTGACCCCGGGGCGTGTCTTCCACGCGACTCCACGTGAACTACGTGTGGGCCAGTCCCGCAAGTAGCATCACGGTGAGTGGCCTTTCTTTTCAATATGGCGTCTATTTGAAAGTTTGATCTCCATTAATACTTTAGCCTTTTTCCACCGAATAATTAAAGTATTCTAATATAGAATACGTCCAGGCTCTGAGAAAGCCGAAGTCGCCGAAACGTCAGCCATCGGCCAGCAACATCAACAACAACGACAACGACATCGAAGACCTGTACCAACCTCGCATCAGCTTAAGAAGTTCGGTTTATAAGACCATATAAATAAATATATCAACTATCTATGCCGAGGTTTATAGAAAGTCAGTTTTCGAATAATATATTTAATCACTGAGTAGAGCTAAAGATAAGAACTGAAAGAAAAAACAAGTTCGAAAGTTTATTTCGGTGACTAGAAACGGTTTTAGTGGCACATGACCAGAGTGGTCCGCGCAAATTGAGTGCTCCGCCATTATTTTATATAAAACATGTATTCCTACCGCTTTAAAATTTGTGAACAATTGGTTCAAAAACAAAGAATGTAGGAAGAAAAACCAAGCACTTACAACCCCTTCGTTCAACTTATTTAAAAAGAAGGATTCCGACAACGGGAAGCTATCATTCTCTTGCGTACAGAGGGTGTCCTAAAAATTCTCGTTAGACGGCGATCGTGAAGAGGATTTTCGAAAGATAAAGACCTACATCTCTTGGGGAAGCAGACATTTTTGTAGCCTGTTGGATCAGCGAAGTCAAGAAGTCCTCCTGAGTTGACATTAAAGCTGGAATCAATGAGACATTTCGCATGCCATAACTAGATTTAATTCGAAATGTGACCTCTATCTATTCAACGACATAAGAAACTGCGGATGTTCCTTTACACCCTTTTGCTTCACCTCGACCCAAGCATCAAGATATTTCTCTAGAAAAAGTTTTGTTTTCTGTTTGTACAACATGCATCACCATTCTTCTCGTTGCTGGCCGCGTTAATCAAGGTGGTGGTAATTATTATAGAACCTGTAGGCATTATAGTGCCCATCATAATTTCTATCTAGGATGTCTTCCTGAAGAAGCAGGACCATCTGACCACTGAGTTGTTGGTCGTCCTGCTTTGTGCTTGACATCCTATCAGATACAGTCACCAACTGCTTTTGCAAATCGCTTGGTAATTAGATGAATCACGAGTTCGCCCACCCCGTTTTCGGCATATTAGCGTATACTTTAGCGTATTCGACAATTGATCGTCGATGTTGCTTTGAACTTCGGGATAGTTCGAGGGTCATCCTCATTATAGCACACTCCATAACACTTCTTTATCCCGATAACGAAACACTCAACTCTATGAAGCTTACGTTGAGGCAGGAAAAATTGTGGAGTCAAAAACACAAGCATGAAGTTGGTTGTTCTTTATCCTTTTCATTAGAACATCGATGTTCCTGCAGGCTCTAGACGCTCCAGTTTCCTGGTTCTTATCTAGAGTTAAGTAGTCTATCATGTTGATTTGTGGACTAAGATATGTGGCTGAATCATTCAAATACCTTCCATCCGCTAACCATGAGTGGTACATCACCTATATCACCTATAGTCCCGTTGATCGTCGAGTGACCCGAGCGGGCCTCAGTAAATCTTCCATTTTTCCCCTGTCGCTTGCAAGTGTAGCTCAGTGGGTTCTGCTCGCTCTAGGGACTCGTCCAGCATCATATCTTTATTCTAGACTTTTCTTGAAGAACTCTGACCATCGAGTAAGTGGTCTTCCTGTAGTGCGTTTAACATCCCGAAGAATCCAGTCACTAACGGCTTCTATCCATCGGATGTCAATCATACGCATTGCCTATCATACGCATTACGTGTCCTGCCCATCTTATCTTCTTCGACTGTTTGGCGTACAGAACAGCATCTTTGATTTTTTATCGTTGACGCAGTCAGGAGCCCCGCATCCCTTCCTTTGCTTGTGTCAAACGGGATACTCCTAGCAACGTCCCTTCGACTGCGTGTAATTATAACGCTGAGTGATTTTTCATTCTGCTTACGAAGCGACCAAGTTTCTAACGTATACGTTACGGCAGAAAGTACCGTTGAGTCGAAAAGATGGGCACGGAGTCGGGTATTCTTTGTCCTCTTCACTACATCCTCGATGCTCTTGTAAGCTCCCCAAGCCGCTCGTTTCCTTCTGCTCAGCTCTGGAGCTAAGTCGTTCATCATATTGATTTCCCGATCTAGATAGACATAACTGGAGCATTCGGAGATATTCGTTGCGTTGAGCGTGAATGGGGCATACGAAACCAATCCGTTCCTCATGAACATCGTTTTTGTGAGATTTAGTCGAAAACCAGTCTTTCCACAGACTTTATCAAAGTCGTTAAGCTTACGTTCCGCATGGCTAATGTTTGGTGTTATAAGGACGATGCTATCAGCAAAGCGAAGATGGTGTAACTGCCGACCATCGATTTTCAATCCCGTATTATCCCATTCCAATGTTCGCATGGTTCTGGAGGGTGGGGGTAAATTATTTTGGCGAGATGGTGTCGTCTTGCCTAACTCCTCATTTGACGTCGATTTTAATATCGTTGTAGAATGGTTATATCTTCGTTGAGAAATTTTTGTACAGCTCACAAAGAATCTTTACTGATCAGGGACTCCTTGACAATCAAGGGCCTCCATGACCGCTTCTATCCAATTCGATAAAAAGCCTTCTTTAAATCGATGAAAGTGGGACAAAGAGGTCTTTTCTACTCTTGTGATACTTCAATGAGTCTTATTATGGTGCGGATGTGGTCCATCGTACTAAATCCTTTTCGAAACCCTGCTTGCTCACATGGCTGTCCTTCGTCCAGTGTTCTGTCAATGCTGTTTAAGATGACTCGAGTGAAAAGTTTGTAGACGACAGACAGCAAGCAGATTGGATGATAGTTATCGATGTCGTGTAGGTCACCCTTCTTGAACAATGACACGATCTTGCTGGTCCTCACAGAGTAGGAACCCTGCATTCAGAGAGGTAACGTGTGAAGAGCCGAGCCAGTGTGTTTACGAGGACTGGCGGAAGGTTCTTCAGGTGTACTGGCATGTGGGATTTCGGAAGGGAGAACCGGTGGTTCAACATATCCATCCTCCTTTATTTCATATGATAGGAGATGGACGTGACTGTCGAAGAGATCTGAGTAATATTCGTGAATGGTTTTCTCCACTGCTTTTCTGGACGCTGTAACTGTTCCGTCCGGGCGTCGGAGTGCAGTCATCTTGTTCTTGTAATTGGCGAATCTTCGGTGGGTTTAGCGAATGCTTTTCGCAGCCTCTGCAGCTTCGACCATTGCTGCTACTTTTGTCTCTTTAAGATCCTCTTTTATTGCCTGTCGTCTGTCTTGTTCCTCAAGTTCGAACGTTAGTTCGCGGTTGCCAGCAGCTCGTGCGATTCCACGCTGGCGTATTAGCTCGAATGTTTCTGGAGACAGACATCTCTTGGTTACTTTCGAACTCTCAGCTTTCATACCGTTAACATGAAGATGTTGAGTGAGCCGATCGTATTCTTCGTCGATGTTATCGACAACGGCATCTTCCCAACAGCCGACTAATGAATTGAATAAGTCCTAGTTTGCGTTGGTTCTGCGACTTCGGTTTTGGAATTTAGCGGCTTTTCCTCCTTTTCGCGAAAAATAGAGTCTTGCACGAAGGAGACGATGGTCTGATCCCGTGTAGAATTTGGGACAACAGCGACATTAGTTAGGCAAAACCTTCTATTTACTATGATGGGGTCTATTTCGTTATGGTACTCTCCATTGGGAGACTCCTACGTCTAGCGCTGAGGGTGGGGCTTCTGGAATTTCGAGTTACCATAAATTGTTTTGGTCGCCATGATAAACTCAAATAGCTAGCCGCTCACCCTATTCGTTCCATTCTAAGCCATGGGTCCCAATGTGACGTTCTTCGCGGTAATGGGAATGCTCCTCCCAACGTCCGCAGCTCATTTGATTCTAAGATTATCGTAAACGCTAGATTGTTTCTGGAAGCAAAGGTCTCTTGGTGACTTTCAATACCTTGTTTCCTTAGCAATATGTTGGAGAAGGTGCTGGAGAAGTTGTTCGCAGTCATTATTGATTTTATCATTAGCAGCATCAAAAGCCAGATTAAGACGTGATAAACTTCGTGGATCTTGCGAAATTCCTAAGTTTTTCCACCAGGTTCCCAATGCAAGGTCCCACTGTGAGTTATATGTTCACGTCATTCTTGTGGATTTAAGCAGACTAGTATGGAAAATGAACATACGTCGGCGTTCATCCTATCCATTGTAACAAGTTGCTTCGATTCAGGAGAATGAAGTTTGCAGCAACAATGACGTTGAAGTTTTGGCTACCTTCAGCTGTGACTACCCATAAATAATTCACCACACTATGCCATAGAAATTGGGTACCCTTATGAGTGGCCGGGCGGAAATTTCCTCAGTAGACATGAAGCACGTTCGTTGCATTTGCTTGCCCGCCAACCATAAACAAATATCACATAGCCTCGTAACTAGTGTCTGGAAATCCCTCAGCAACAAAGATCCATTCGTTGCCCATCTAGATAAAACAAGAATTGTAAATACATGCTGTTTTATTTCGAAACCGACTTTCCCTGAACCTCGGTATCACTAATCAATATGTATTCTTTCCTTGATGAGCTTACACGAGGTTGACAATATTTATTTTCGGCTAACGTTTCGACGTCTTCGTCTTCCTCAGAGCCGGTGATCCGAGTCGTTGGTCCTCGCTTGTTATTCGCCTCGACGTGGCAGCTTCGCCTTCGTTGTTTGTTTATGCTGTTTTATATGCAACTCTTCTCGTGATTCCTACGCACTCTACCTCTTTAACAATCAACGGATGATCTACGAGTTTTATAGAATGTCGGCAAGTCCTACTAACAAATATGAAAATTTGCTTTCTTTTCGTATGACTCTAATTCACTTACTTCCAATTTTAGTTTCTGCTGATGTAAATGGATTAAAATTGTGTATTTGATGCCGCTGAGTCGTTAATGCCTTGATGAAAGCATCATCTGACTAAAAAATAAATCTCACTATAGAAAACACAAACAGCCTAATAATTTCCTATCGTGAAGAACACGAACTAAGGGCACTGTGCTGGCTATAATCTACTACGGGTTTGACCATTAAAAATGGGACCTATCTTTCCTTTCTTCGCAATTTTCTCCTAGAACGATGGTACAAGCACTTTGGTGTAATCTTTCCATGATAGGCAAAGAGTAATATCGGAACGAGAATTTTCATGGGTGATCCTTTCCGCTACAAAAGGCCACTTAACATACCACATTTGTAGAAGCGGATCAACACTACTCGATAGCTTCGCAAATGGGTACATATGTATTTTACTGTTATACTAGCTTTTGGAGAAGCGAACCTTTCTTGGTCGAGGTGCATAATTTGCAGGTGCCTGCGAATTAATTTTCTCTTCGCAAATAGCCCATAAGCCGCCAGGCCCTGAAACGAAGTTTAAGACAAGTAATGGATCAAAAGATTAGCTTATTCTGCACCTGTATCATGTTTTCTCTTCAAATGAAATTTCATAGTGGTAGGGCTGCGATCATTGGTCACCCAATGACAGAACCTACAACGCACACCAGCCAGCCCATGACCTCGCAGATCCGTGAAGAACTCCCAGACCTTAAATGAATGACAACAAGAATGACTCATTACCATTACAATGAGTAAAAATATCGTACCAGCCCACTTATACGCATGTTCCAAAATCGGAACGCAGTTAGAAAAGTGGTTGTGGTGCCTTTTAGTACACGCAAGGTCCTGCTCGACTCTACCTCGTGAAAATCAAGTAGCTCACTTCTTCCAGATCGGCACCAGAATTGTCTATGGTCATCCCACTCTCTCCATTCTACAAAATATGGCGGTTTGCCGTGATGGCAATCTGGGAACACTCGTGCTTGTTGTCTTAGGGTTCCACAGAGAATCAACTCGATCAGTATTCCACAACATTGACGAAGATTACCAAAAACCCTCAAATAGTAGTCAAATTCACACAGAGTGTGAAGGCCTCCGTGCATGATGATGCAAGGAGAAGAATGGATTAGAAAGAAAGGAAGTGCTGGGATTAATATGTATAATACCGGATCATGTAAAGTAAAAAAAAAACAAAGTAAAATAATGCAATCACTTTTCATTTATTTCTTATTCTTTTTCCATGGCAGAATATGATGTGAAACACAACTACAGTAATGCTGATATTTGCAAAACTCCGGATAACAGGTGCCTGCGGCGTGGACCCAACCTCGTCTATAATAATGAGGTTCGCTCCCAGCCGTAGACACCTATGGTCCGGAGTTTTGCGAATATCTCAGCATCATCTTAGTTGTATTCCACAAAGTAAAACATCCAAGAACCATTTATATTACAGATTAACGATGGCGATGTACGTAGATTCACCAACTGCCTTCCGATAACCAGCTAATGAACAAGTCAATATCAATGAGAGTTTAACGATGTGTTAGCGATTGATCAATCAACACCAGTGCTCTTTTTGTTCAACAGATTAAGGGTTCGCGTCCAACTAGAGTTCAGTTCAAGTAAATAGTCGTGTCTGTTATAAACATGTCTGGCAAAGAAGTAAAAACTTTTGTAAACTATAAAAGCAATGAGATATTGATACATTTGATTGATGGATCTTAGGACTGACAGTGAAGATATACATCATTCGGTTTTCAGTGCTTTGAAAAGATTTTGTAAACTATCACCAAGAGATTCTCTACTTAGCTAGAATTACACAGTAGAATTCAAGTTAGTAGAAAATGAAGTTAATATGGATGAATATTCGGTAAACGACTGTAGAAATAAAAGTGACCGATTTGGCGCCAAAAAATGAATATTATGCTCTATACGCTGAACACTAACCTGTGGTCTATTCAGGTCCGAAGTTATTGCTTAACTCTTACACGGACACTTCGACAGGATCAATGATGACAGTAGTCATCATCTGCTATAGTGTCAGTCTTTCGCCACTAAAAGACAGTTTGCTCTTCTTCTAGAAGGGCAAGTACACCTCATGATGACCTTTGAGATGGTACCAATGGCTTACAGGACTGCTTATTTTCATTTTATTTTATTTTACATGCGTCTTCATCACATTTACTATGCGGATCCCATCACTAATTGCATTCGATTCGCTCTCCTCGCACCCATCGCCCTCAGTGCTCCTCGAACATTTCGCTTGTTTCAGCTGCTATTTGAGGATTTCGTCTTTTTCTATGGTTGTTGTAGAGTGCTCATCGAGTCAATTCTCTTTGCAATCTTGGAGATACCCAGGCTAAAGCGCTCCCACGTAGATTGGAGGAGAACGTTGGGCGGAGATCGAACTGACGCCTTTGACGCCCGATCGACAGTGTCGCTAAAAAATGCGCTTTTTTCGCCCAACACAACTACATACTTTATACAACATGAACATCCAAACATCTCCTCTCATTTAGGTTCTTCAAAGAAATGACTTTGCTGTTAGCAAGTCGGATCGCACTGCACTGGAATTACGCGTTATCGATGAAAAAGTCAAACAGTCATCGTGCTGTGACGGTTCTTTTCACTAAGATTTCACATCTAGTAGTTGTTCATATCTTTTCCTACAACTAGATAACAAAATGACTTTGACTGCTCCTTCGTCGAGTAGAGCTCCTTGGTTCATGAAGGCAAAATAAAGCACTGATGGTATTCCAGAAAGATCTCTATGATTACTTAGTAATTCCTATAGTGCTATTAATCACCAAATTCCTACTTTCGAAATCAACTTTGTGCAAAGAACCTTTACAGCAGTTTTGTTTTCAACGAGAAACTAGGACTTCTAGCAGAAGATAGGCATAATTCCTGTGGGTCTCCTTGTAATGAACACCAGTTCTAGTCTAGTGTCGACGTGAATAGCAAAACCAAAATTTCCCTAAGTTTCGATGCCGCTGACGTGGGAAGGAGCTCTGCCATACATCATAGGTTCCAGGGGTACTTATCACCACAATAAGGCTACAGTTCATTTGGGATAGATTACAAAATGCTTTTTAATATTTTCTTTTCTCTGCTGGTTATAGTACCTTGGAAGGATATATCTCCAAAGAAACTCCCCATAGCTTCTAGAGATTGCAGTACTACTAGTATTTGCGTATGTTTAATTTGGCACGAAAGTTTACCTCATTAAGGATTTCTTGTTTAATACTGGTCGAGCAATGTTGTCTTGCCATAACATAAAATAAAGCTTTTCGTTTTGACTTTGACGATTTTCAAGGCTTTCATCTACTTCGCTGATGAATCTTCCTTCACCTCCAAATACTATACTTATTTCCAGAACGTTATCAAAAGGTCTAACTGTTTCACGAATCTGTTAAAGGTACATGCATGTAATTAAATATAAATATAGATAAATAATACTACATAAGGCGTGCACGTAGCGCAGTGGTTAAAGGTCTCCTGCAATACACATGGATTCGATCCCCCATCTCAGACTCACCATCCCTTCCATTCCTCCGGCGGCGTCGGCAAATTAGTATTATACCTGTCTAGGAGGATAGCCCTACTGACTTGATACATCGGCAGGTTACTACAAGTCATTTTATGGAGCAGATATGCATTCGATCACCTGTAACGATGTATAATGATGCCGAATGCATAGTTTATCCCTCAAGGATTGATCAGCGTCAAGAGCATCATCCTTTATTATATAGGCAGCGGATAAACCAGTGGTAGTGACCCCGATCATTATGCGGATGGCCCAACCTAACCAACCGTTGGTCCAATCCGAATCCGGGTCCGCCATGCTTCTAAACTCTTCTGAGTCGGGAAGTTGATGCCAGACTTGTTTGAGACAAGCTCACTACTTCAATCCACGTAGGATAGCTCTTGTACGGCTATCTCAGGACTTCAGGGAGAATCAATCGACCAGAATTCATTAATATTCGAATATTCGTGATAAATACGAAAAAATTCTCAAGCAGCAGCCGCAGGAGCACGGAGAAACCTAAGCACCTTCGCCGATGGTGGATGCGAGGAATGAATCGACTCCGGGGAGTGCTGGGATCTGCACACTGGGATACACGCGATGTCAAGTCTTGTAATAATAAAGTTATGTATATATATATATATATATATATATATATGCATTTAGTAAAATGCCACTCGGTAAACAGTTCCCTAATCGATATGTAACACTACGTATCACTATTTCACAAGTTCCACAACGAAATGTTTATGAACGAATTATGGGGAAAACGAAGGCGGTTGGACAACTAGTTTCAGGATGTAGCGAAAGATCTAATTCAAAATGAAAGCGGAAAAGATAGAGATCCTGGTAAAGCTGAATCTCAGTGATATTCAGCTTCACATTCGTTTCAGTTTTGTAACCTACAGTTCCAGTGAAGATATAGCAAAAAAGTGAATTTCTTATATCTCCAGGTGAAACTGCTATAGGAGGGGTTAATCTCACAGAAATGTACGGCATGCTAGGCGCAGGGCTGGGTAGCCCGATAGAACACCGATCCACGAAGAAACGGTTTCAGTGCATTTTGTCCAAAGCACTCAGCATGGATGGATGAACGAGATAGAAAGATTCAAATACGAAGTCAGTAACAAAGAAAAAGTGTTCACAACATGACTATAGGAATGGTGTAGAGGAAAACTCATTGGTCCTCCTTGGATTTTTCGCATTTCCCATATACTAAAGAAATTGCTTATCTTAAACTTAAACTGATGGTACAAGCATTAGTCAAAGAGAAGGAACTTATTGACGAGTTTAGATTTCGAAAGGAAAAAACGGCCGTCATATAGGACAGGTAAAAACTGTCACAAAACAAGTATTTGCCTCGCAATCGTAACTAGAATTCCCTTCGTAACATTCTATTACTTGGTTTATTAGCGTCATATGACGTCAGTGCGACAGTGAAGCCGCTCAAAGCAGGTTTTGAAAAGTAATTTCCCAAGCACTGAGAATGGATATCAGCCATCAACCGAGAGAAATGAACTGCATATCGCCTTACATCAAGGAGAAGCACTATTTATTTAAAAAACTCGTTGAGCGTGGGCCTGAGGTCTCGACTTCTACAGCTCCGTTACGCCACCGGATCCGTTACAACTCAGTTAACATACCAGTAGAAGGAAACCTCGATCAATGGTGTTTTTACTTGCATTTCTATCTATTCCCACACAAAAAGACTACATTACATGAGCACGTTACCCATATCCGACCACTCCGCGATCGTGAAGGCAGTCTACCAGGTCATTTTTGAGCAAACAGAGAAATCGAGTGAATTCGGTGTTAGACAAGATCATATCATCGCAGCATACAGTCTCAATTCAATTCAGGTCTTCTTAAGAGGCTACGCGCGAACGCTTTTGAAGGCGTAAGAAAAAAGCGCAGTGGGCTGGGGAAGTGGTGGGGCGATCGAATTCCCCTCGACGCAATCCCGTTTTCGAGAGGCAGGGCGGCTGGTCGGCGCGCACTGAATCCGAGCTGCAATTCAAAGCAGCCACAGAACCACTGTCGTCACTAACCGTCGCTAGCTATCCAGTAGATGATGGTCTACAAAAAAACGAGAACAAAGCGCAGTAGAATGGAAGGCAATCACTATATATGAGTATCGAAAAGTACTAGTCCAGAAAAAATGCGACGGTGAAAAGTAGGAAGCGATAGCTCTCAGAAGTTCTACAGAAGTTCTACAGGAAAGAGGTGGAGAACAGGAAAAATGCTATGTAGTACAACTGAGAGACTCGATGAAGAAAATAAGAACAATCAGGACGTTTCTTCATTCAAGCAGTAAACAATTGCAGTTCGTGTCCAGGACACCGCTGCGCCAACATTGCGTTTCATTAGAGGTTCGTAAATGTAACGTAAATGTAACACGAAAAAACACTGCACAATAGATTCAGATAAAACAGTAAATTACAGACTTGTAGAAGCCCGAGAAAATATAAATCGGAACATAGACGAAGAACGCACATACCGGATTGCTTTTCTTCCGACCAGCGTTTCGAGGATTTGGCACGTTCGGTGCTGGGGCCAACCCGGTTCGATTGAACATATCTGGATAAGATGAGTCAGACAGACGGCGGAAATCCACAATTAACTAAGGGTAAGGCACATTTGCTACTGTATCGCACAATATCACGGATCTAACTCAAGCGATCGAATGAGATATCACTACTCTGGAAAAAATTCGTGATCGCAAAGTGGGCTATGTAGAAAGCAGGTTCGTAGCCGCTAATGAAGTGTACGAAAATGCTACTGGTGAAGTTGAAAACTGAACTGCGCCCTCTTCGCAACAGCGTAAAAGCAGACGAAATTCGCCACGTGTTGGGCTGATTGCAAGAGAACGGATTCTAAAAACCGGCAATAGCGCTCTACACGACTGTGCATTCGTAGATGTCAGTCGCATCAGTGGAACCCCGTGCTAGCAGAGCCGAGGGTCCGGAAGACGAAGTGACCTGGGCCAGCCCAGGCACAGCACCCCACACCGGAACTCACGACTACCGACGGACGGGTTCGCTAGTCAATCGATGCGCCGATTCTAGGCCAGACTAAAATTAGACCGACGGCGGCGCTGCGCTTCCACGCCGAGCGATCGCTCGCAATTCGCCCGAAGCCTGTTTCGCTCGGCGGACCGCGCCAATCCGCACACCGGACCCAGTCGTCTTTCGCAACCTCCGTGGACACAACGCAACCCTGAACGGAATCACGTGTGCACCCACCACATATCGATAACTAGCAGACGAGCACACTCTCGAACAACGGACCACACCCATACAATACGGTTCGCCTCAGAAAGAAAACCATGGAACTATCATTTCGCTCGTGAACCGCACGTTGTTTCCAGCATTTCCACAACCCTACAACTGCTCTCAGCGACAACAACTCAAATATCATTTATAGTCAACATCTATATTTCTGTAAAATCAACAAGAATAACAGTAATACTACTAAGCAATTAACATAACAGGGATAGTTGCAAAGTAAACGATTTGTCGCAGACCAAACCGAAATGTCTATCGATCCAGTCCAGAACTGAAATCGTCGATTATAAATCAACATTCTCGGATGTGATTATAATGAGCAATTGGGATCTGGAAGAATAACTTTCAAAGAATAAAAACCATCCAAGTGTAAGACCTACTTTGTAAAGGATAACCACTTCGCAATGATTCATACCGTAACAACAAGTGTATGAGTGCATCACAAAACAAAAAGGAAGGTAGCAGAAGCGTAAATCCACAAACCTACGAAAGGTCAAGAACGGAGTTTAGGTAATAAAAGAGAACAGTATTAAAGGAGACACTCCATAACAACTTGAAGCAATTGCTAAATCCTTCTCCACCTCGTGCAGTTAAAAAGGAAAGAAAAACAAATTCCCACGACGAATTGTACCAACAAGTTAAACATAACTTCTAATATAACCAAAACATAAATATTCCCATTTGCTGCGAAAATTACCCTATGTCCATCTCATTTTCGCTATCTTCCTCCCTCTCCTCATCACCACTTGATTTTTCCTGAAAGTACACAGTAAAACGCCATAGTTGAAAAAGATAGTACTACTTCCATCTACAGTGGTGAGCTTCCCCTTAATTTATGCATACCTCAACTCCATCATTTTCCCCTTCCCCGACGCTGTCGCTCTCATCATCCACCTTCTCTTTTCCTAACACGTCCAAATCGGAGTTACCATCAGATTCTTGAAAGGAAAAGTTGTTTTGATTTGATACGACAAGGAAGCAGTTCCAAACAATCGAACCATCACTGTCATCATTTTCGGACTCATCACCGATACCTAGCCCGCTCTCGTCCCACCACTCTTCTTCTTCTTCGTCGCTGCTGGCAGCACTTTCATCAGACCCGCCACTTTCAGCATCTTCCAGATCAGAGTCCATATCTGAAATAGTGCATGCTGATGCCAACCAAATTAAGATAAACTATATGTTAAAGCTTAATTGGTAAGGCAAGTAAGACAACTATTGTATTCGGTTTAAACAAAAATAATGTGAAAGATGAACATTCGATTTATGTAGGAAAGGTAGACCTAAGTTTACAATCCACTAAAACAACTGCTATCAAATTAGTACAAGGAAGTTTGTCACTGACCACAATTAGTAATCTAAAAACCACTTGGCGTATAACAAACAACGCATAGGAAAACCATGTATAGTCACACCAACCGTCATTGAAAACTATTAAGGGTTGTGGCGCCACGGTAACCGTGCGGTTAATCCGGCGTTCGATCTGAAATTTCTAGACGATAACAAAGATAACAGACAATGAAAAAAAAACTGAACCAAATAATACAAGTTCTGCCAAGTTAGAGGAACGGAGTGAGATTATTTCGAGTCAGATTTTTCACACAAGAGATGAAAAACTCTTTAAATATTTAAAAATAGATCGTAACGAAATCAACCTATGACCTTTCTTCTCAACCTTATTCTAGAACAAATTGCTGATTGAAGGGAGCAGACACTATTAAATTTTAATTAAAGGTATGTAAAAAACCATCGTTTGGAGGTAAACAGGTAAGGGGGGCCAGGTAAACAAGAAGTAAACTTAGCCCAACAAAATGGACTCTATAAGTTTTAGCAGTTTTTTCAAAACCATCACGACCAAAAAAACGCAATCAGCGCAAGGTTTCCAGCGCAAACCTCTCAACAGCTTACACATGCGCCATGCTTGTCCTTTCTTGCACTGATGCACCCGTTATAAACAACTCACAAAACCCAACAACTATCGTGCTCAGATCGTTCATGCTCACGTCGTAAGATCAAACGCAGACTTACCTGTTCACCAACAATGCTTAGCTTTCCATGTAGTTCTAGAAGTTTTTGTTGATGTCCAACACGTATTCGCATCCACTCCAATAATCCGCTCAGCTCTGTTTCAAGATTTCTTATCTAAAATTATTGTAGGAAAATTATGCTTATAGAACTGAAATTAACAAGGAAGAAACTCCGCTGAATTTGTAACAATGCGAACCCAATTTTATAAGCAAGGAAAGAATATGAACTGCAACAAACTGATACATGAAGAAATAACGAAGACGGGCAAAACTCACAGAAGCAAGGTAGGACGCGTGTAGAGATAAGATACACTGTATCCATAGTATCCACGGCTTTATACTAAAATTTCGGTAACATTTGAGTACTACTCAGAAAAACATGAGTATTTTTAAAAAATTTACAGCACTACTGTTTTCTAGAGAACTGCCGATAAATTGTTCTTCACATAGTACGTGAGGTTATGAGGACATTACAGATTTATAGTTGGTAAGACCTTATTATCACTCTAACGTTATATACAGCTTTGAAACATAAGACACACTTGGTACCAAACCCACACCAAAAACACTCCAAAACGTTTGACGCTAAAAACTAACAGAAGCTGTCATCTACAAATTTGAAGCATAATCAATCTATGCGGACCAAAATCGTCTATGTTCAAAATACCAGGCCTCACCAAAAGAAAAAGTAAAGTAAACGATTTCCAGGCTACTGAAAATAGTGTGGATTGTGGGAGAATAACACTTTGTTTTGTTCAAAACACCTTTAGATCCAAGTTTCTATTTCAATCAAGAAAGTTCAATAGGTAGGCGTTTGTTTAAAACTGAAAGTGGTCGTCTTCACTCATATGAATCATATGAGTTGAAACCAGGTTTTCTCAAATTCTTCTCTTTGCGATTGACACTTCTGAAAGCAACAAGCGTGTTCTATTTATAGGTTTTCTGGAAGAAACAGAACAAAGTGTATGAAATTAATGTACGACTTTGTGTTTATGTAATATAAAAGTGGCAGTCTCTAAACGAACGCTTAAAAAGCACCTTAAAAATCTTTTGCACTGCACAATGCAAACAACACGCACTACGCAAAATGAACCCACTTGGTTGCTGATCGACAACTAATCCTCTCAAACAACGCCTTCAAGAGAGGTACAACGTGCAACACCTGCAGGTCGAGCAGAGTGCTCTGAATGAAAGAGATCGTATACTCTGAAGTACTCAATAATGAACTAAAGATGCCAGATAGTTCCGTATCCCAGTAAATTTTGGTGAACTGGTGTCGCCCTTATAACTAATAAGGTTACCTTCCTTGTATTTCACCTAGATGTTCTCATATTGCATTTATATTTGCTCTCATTCTTAATTCAAAGTCACAATTGTTCATAGCGAAACACAGATGGGTCGGTCACCTATTGAGAACAACGGACGACAGATGGGCGAAAAGAACTGTAGAATGGACTCTACGAGGATTCAGGCGTCCACTTAGATGGCCACCTACAAACTGGGCGGAGGTGTTCATAACAAAAGTTAATCGGTTGTCCTCGCAGTTGCAGTTGTTTCATAGATCACGATATGAGACTCACAAACGCACGCCACCATGTTCGAATAAAACCACCAAACCATGGATGATGATTGTGAGCGAAAAAAAGAATGGCAAATGTGCTGGGGTCCGCACAACTCGTGAATACGGATCGTTCAAGTAAGTCCAAGTAAAAGCAACTGATCATGTAGCTTAGCACTCTTGTTGAAACCACAAAACAAAAACCTACTATATCAGAACCTCACCGCTTCGCAGCTGACAGAGAATTCCGGTTTTCAGTAATCTAAAAAAGAATGCCAAAACCAGCTTCCGCCGTTTCAATTCGTTTTTTTTTTTGTAAAACAATCAAATTCTTATAGAAAAAATTGTCAGTATTTGTATTACATGACGCCGAATGCTAATGACGCGAAACTTATCTAACACAGGTTAAGATCTGAAAAGCTGAAGCTCAGAAATTTGTACTGGAAACCTCCTTACTAGGAAAATATTTTAATGGGAAATCCAAAAACTACGGACAAGTCATACCCGCCTTGTCACTCCTCCTTAATGATAGTAGATGAAGAAGGAAATGATATAAACTGAAAACTGGACCAGAGGACAGACATGGACTAATTCAACTTGCTGTTACTTTCTATGCTACAATAACCATCTACCTTCATAGCAAGACCTGTGTTTAAATCCAGAAGACATCCGCGTACCAAACCACCTTTATTGATAGCAGCAGGTATAAAGACAAGTGAAAAGAATCAATGTAGGGAGAACACACAATTCACGAACTACTCCAGTGAATGCCCCACCTGTACATCCGAGCTTTTGCGAAGGGTAATTAATGAAAAATGAAGAAATGACTAGATGTATCTAGCGAAACAGTCCTGCTTACTAAAACCTACTTAATAACTCGAAAGACCCACTTTCTATAAACCTCGGCATGGATAGTTGATATATTTATTTATGTGATCTTATAAACTGATCTTCTTAAACTGACGCGAGGTTGGTACAGATCTTCGTTGTCGTTGTTTTTGATGTTATTGATCGATGGCTGACGTTTCGGGTACTTTGTCTTCCTCAGAGCTTGAACGTACTGTATGTTAGAATACTTTTTATTATTCGGTGGAAAAGAAGGTTAAGGTGTTAATGAAGATCAAACTTTCAAATAGACGCCATATTGAACAGAAAGGCCACTCACCGAGATGTTATGTGCGGGACTGGCCCACACGTAGCTCACGTGGAGTCTCGAGCAAGGCACGCCCCGGGGTCAAAATATCATTCTGAAATAGGGTGCCAGGTCACGCGTGATAGTGAGGCATTCGTCCTTCCGGTTCATCTTTGGATTTTTGAAATTTAACCAAAACGCCTCAAGAGTTTTGCGCGTTGATGTTTTTGATTCCTGCGTTAGGATCCGCACATTCACTTCAAAATCATCGCCGTTGTGCTTTCGTGCCCTATGCGTACCTAGAGGGGTGTTTAAACGGATTTTAGCTTTCCCATCCGGATGCTATTGGGGAAACGGGTATACCACTTTGTGTCCGCATAAAAGAACATCTAGATGGAAAAGCTAAAATCCGTTTAAACACCCCTCTAGGTACGCATAGGGCACGAAAGCACAACGGCGATGATTTTGAAGTGAATGTGCGGATCCTAACGCAGGAATCAAAAACATCAACGCGCAAAACTCTTGAGGCGTTTTGGATAAATTTCAATAATCCAAAGATGAACCGGAAGGACGAATGCCTCACTATCACGCGTGACTTGGCGTCCTATTTCAAAATGATATTTTGACCCCGGGGCGTGCCTTGCTCGCGACTCCACGTGAACTAGGTGTGGGCCAGTCCCGCACGTAACATCTCGGTGAGTGGCCTTTCTGTTCAATATGGCGTCTATTTGAAAGGTTGATCTTCATTAACACTTTAACCTTCTTTTCCACCAAATAATAAAAAATATTCTAACATAAAGTACGTCCAGGCTCTGTGGAAGACGAAGTCGCCGAAACGTCAGCCATCGATCAATAACATCAAAAACAACGACAACGACAACGAAGATCTGTACAAACTTCGCGTCAGCTTGAGAAGATCAGTTTATAAGATCACATAAATAAATAAAACCTACTTACTTGGATGCTTCAGTGGACCGTCCTCACTGGTTGTGCGGACTCCAGCATAATTCCCATTCCTCGGAGACTCGCTGGTTTAGCCATGTGGTTCCCTGGAGTCCCGATGACAGCCTGGCCAAAGTTTGCCCCAGGTCGTCACCACCACAGGCGGTAGCCGTCCTTGTGGATGAGGAGATTTGCCACCGCATTGGTTTACCCTTAGCTGGGCTTCCTGATGGAAACGCCGAACTCCTTCTCAGCTTGGGAGACCCTGCTGCGGGATGGATTCCCGAGGTACATCGCAGCCCGACACCCAGGAGCACCTCCCAGCCACGATGAGGCGGTAGACCGTTGGAAAGGCAATTTAAAAAAGGAAACTTAAATTATAATCTAAAAGTACTCACTTGAATAATCTCCACCTTCGCTTCACGCAGAACACTGTCCAGTTTCAGCACATCGTTGGACATTAGTCCCTGAGCCACTTGGACAGCGAGCGAGGGTCCAGATGACCGCGTCAATTCAGATTCATTGTTACTGCTGAACATTAGTGTTTCCAAACTCAGTATGCAGACATTACAAAATGAAAAGAATATAAAATCGCATTTATCAAGAGGATTTACAGTGTTACCATTGTTGCTGCAACAGTTGACCCATGGTGAGAAATTTCCCTTTCTTAATTTTAGGCGAATCACGTACTTCGTCCGCTGGAGTTTCACTGCCTTCATGTTCGCCCTAAAAACGATGCACATAGGAACAGGTCAACAAACAGAAAGAAATAGCTAACCGAAGCAATACTTTACTATGAATGTTATGGAGCACACCTACATCTTCCAAGGTTCCATTTGTTTTCTTCCTCGAAATGCCTAACTCCTCCACGTTCTGGACAGATTCCTCCGAATTTCGAGGATTTTCAGGTTTTCTTGACTTCCGCTGCTTCACCATGACTTATCTAAACCCAGGCACTATCTGGTAAACCAGAACTCAACTAGAAGTCAGTAATTCAGGGTTCGAAAGCGCAAGCGGTGAACATCATAGTCCTTGCCGATCGATAGATACGCAATCAACGTACACCACGACATATTGCACACGACACAATATACATGACGATACGTTCAACCTTTGAAATCTTTGACTTCGTTTTCCATATACAATTATTTTCCATCCATTTGTTACCTATTTCTTTATTTTATTTATTTAATGGAATAGTTTAGAAACTTCTCGATGAGATGATGACTACTGTCAAGTTGTTCGCCACCCACTCACAGAGTGTTGGTGGATCGTTAGTGAACGAGCTGACTACAGCTGGGGTAAGTCCCTTAACGTACCGAGCTTTTTCGTTAAAAATTTATATCTAGTCATTTCTGAAGGCTCAGATAGATGAGCGTGAGTGTTCGCCTTCAAAGACCTCATTCTCTATAGATGTTTCGGAAAACATGGAAGATCTTTTACAATTGCGTGACTTGAGATATGCCGATGAGGTCTACTTGAAAATTTACCATAACAGGATGCATCCTAGTAAGGACCATCCGGATTGTCCAGTGGGTAAGGCGATTGTGACTTCGTGCATTATCCATCTGACTCTGTCAACGTTAAAGCCTCCAGCTGATTTCAGAGATGAGAGCTTACCTCTCCCTTCTTTTCTACAGCGTCAATTACGTGTCTGAAATCTTGCGTTGTACAAAAATCATACGCACGATCGATCAGCACAGATTATCGATGCTTGACGAAGATCTCATGGTCCACTTTGTACTTCATACTTCTGAAAGGAGCTCTGTATGGAAGAACGGGTTGCAGGTTAGCTAATAGCCATTCCGTTGCAAACATTATTATTTCAGGGAAGATGCTCGTTCTTTATATTTTTTTACTTTCCACTATTCACTATTTCGCTCTAACGGTTTACCCCCTCATCATGGTTAGGAGGTGCTCCTGGGTGTGGGGCTGCGATGTACGGCTGGGGGATTCATCTCCCCGGCAGTGTCTCCCAAGCTGAGGGATCCAGCGTTTCCGTCAGGAAGCCCAGCTAAAAGTAAACCAATACCGGGATCCACCACCTTACTGGTATCAAACTAGTCCCACGGTGGAAAATCTCCCTCTGATCCACAAGGGCAGCGAGTATTTTGGTGATGACGACCTGGAGCAGGCTTTGGCTAGGCTGACATTGACTTCAGGGAGCCTCCATGGGTAAACCAGAAAAAATCCGAAAATTTGGAAATTATCCTAGGGCCCATGCAACCAATTAGGATGGGCCATCCAAGTATGCAAGTAATTATTCACTATTTACTGTTTACTATCTTCAGATTGTACAACAAGAATTACCAAGACATGTGAAATGCGCATTGAGAAATGAGGGTCATTCATGGGCGATTCAATGTCATGACACCATGTTCAAAGCAGAGAACAGTATAACCGTTGTGATTTCTGCTGATCGGCACGATATCTACGCTGGAGTTCTTTTGTTTGAGTCAGTTTGAACACAGGGGTTATGTGCAGATCTTTTGTTTCCTGTTTTGTATCCCCATTGACTACACGCGGAAATTCTGTTAAAGTCTATGAACTTAGTGAAGAAGCCTTTCGACCTCATCTTACATTCTGGCAACTGGATGGTGGAGTAGCTGCTACAGTAGTCGAATTAGTTGACGTCCATGACGGTGAGATTACTTGCGTTCTTATAAGTTTCATTTCTTTACTTGCACACTTTTCGATAGGCGACATTGTGCTTGACATGGCATGCGACTGTGGAGAACTAACTTTGGAAGTTTTAAGAAACTATGACGTAAGAGACTTCTTCCTATCACCATTGTATCATTGAAATGAGCGACATTTGTGCCTAATAAATTTAGTGTTTTTGCATTGCGATGAGCCCACAAATCGACCAGCTTGCTATGGCTGAAGTAAACTGGGTTAGTCTGCAGAATTATCTCAAGAAGGAAGCCGGCAGCAGGGCAAGACATCTTCAGTTCATAGCTGTGGAGTTCAACAAAGGTATGTTTACAATGTACGCTTGATGTCATTCCAATTCGCAAACCGTATTTTTCATGAAATACAGAGCAGTTTTAAACTCAGCTATAAAACCCATATCAAGCAGCTGGAGAAGTAAACAGTGTGTTCTGTGCTTCATTTTATCTTGCCGCATAGAATTTTGCGTACTATTGAACGCGAAAGGGCGCGTGTGGCACAGTGGTCGGAGGCACACTGCAGTACACACATGCAATCGATTCCCGCGCCCGTGGGTCATCAAGGTTTCCATCCCTCCGGGTTCGAAAAATCGGTTTCAGACTTGTCTGGGAGGATAGCAGCATTAGCTCGATACATCGGTAGGCACCGTTGGTCATCATAAAGGCCAGATATGCATTCAGTCACCTCCAACGGTACCTAATGAAGTCGAATGCATGACACATCCCTCGGGGATTGATTAACGCCGAGAGTTTTTAGCCTTTATGGGGTGCGATCCTCATATATAACGGCGGGAAGAAACGTATTTTATGGGTTCCGAAAAACAAAGATTTCCCATTCGAAAGACAGGAATTTACTCTTAAGAGTAAGAGTAATTTCCAATTTTTAGAATGTGGAACTTAAGAGTGCTCTTAAGGGTTTCCTCTTCTTTGCAGAGATTCCTGGATTTTAACGATTGTTTCAGTTGATAAAGTTTACTGTGAACTAAAGTGTACATGTTTCTTTAACGATCAAAGAACGCGATTCTTTTTCCCTCACATGCATGTCATTTATTGCTGAATCGGGCGCCAATTTGTTACTTACCGAGTAACAGGAGTCAGGATTAGTAAATTCACTTTGTCTCCGTCGCGCATTGGATCAGTTACCTGTGCGGAACCCGTTCATGGTACATCAAGAAAGTCCAACTTTTGGCTTTTTGTTTATTATTTTACACGAATCGTCTTCACATCAACTGCGCGGATCCCAGCATTTCTAGCATTCTATTCGTTCCTTCGGAATCTTGAGATATCCGATCTAGAGCATTCCCATTTGGATTGTAGAGAGTGAACTGTTCCCAGACAAGTATGGTACAATTTACTGGCACCAGAATTATGACAGACTTGGTGAACCAGGGACAGGGTGGAACTAGCAGTGCTCGTGATTATCGACATCATCGCAGTTCGGTTTTCATGAACAGTCTTAATCACGCTAAAGCGATAAACAACTGGGCATAGCTTCGCAGTACGTCTACTTGATTCCGTTGCCTTTCAAAGTTTTCCTGGAATTCCCGTCTTGTTTTTTGCAGTAGAAAAATACAATAGCGTTTTCGCAAGTATAAGCACATGACTTCGTGCTAGTAAACAATATTGAGTACTGATTACTAGTTCATGTCGAACAAAATAGCACACGATATAAAATGTCGTGTGTAGAGTTTGCCAATGATTGTAAAAGTATTCTCTATGTTTAACGTTTTGTTTTCTGCCTTCTATAATTTTCATGGCAGGTTATTAAGCGAAATACAACCACAACGTTGCTGAGATATTTGCAAAACTCTGGACCGCAGGTGTCTATGGTGGGGAACGAACGCGCTATTATCCTTTCCGGGGAGTAACGCGTTCACCACCACACCATGCGGGTCCTTTGTTTCGCACGTCTCTCAGCTATTTCTATCGATCTTTTTGCCACAGCAATCACCCGTCAGCGGGGTTGATCTGGGGAGCGCAAATCGGCATAGAACCCAGTTAAGCTATGGCTGTAGTTGAAATCACAATGTTTAACGTTTTGTTTTCTGCCTTCTATAATTTTCATGGCAGGTTATTAAGCGAAATACAACCACAACGTTGCTGAGATATTTGCAAAACTCTGGACCGCAGGTGTCTATGGTGGGGAACGAACGCGCTATTATCCTTTCCGGGGAGTAACGCGTTCACCACCACACCATGCGGGTCCTTTGTTTCGCACGTCTCTCAGCTATTTCTATCGATCTTTTTGCCACAGCAATCACCCGTCAGCGGGGTTGATCTGGGGAGCGCAAATCGGCATAGAACCCAGTTAAGCTATGGCTGTAGTTGAAATCACAATGTTTAACGTTTTGTTTTCTGCCTTCTATAATTTTCATGGCAGGTTATTAAGCGAAACCGATTTGCGCTCCCCAGATCAACCCCGCTGACGGGTGATTGCTGTGGCAAAAAGATCGATAGAAATAGCTGAGAGACGTGCGAAACAAAGGACCCGCATGGTGTGGTGGTGAACGCGTTACTCCCCGGAAAGGATAATAGCGCGTTCGTTCCCCACCATAGACACCTGCGGTCCAGAGTTTTGCAAATATCTCAGCAAAGTATTCTTTGTTTTTTTATCTCTTCAATCTTTATCCAGCAACTGAATGAGCTCCAAAAAGTCTCTTTTCTTATTCAATGTGTAGCAGACTATGCAGTAGAAGTTTTGTTCACTCTGTTAACTGGAAGAACACTGTATCTTCGCTTTCGTGAAGATGTTTGATGGTTGGGTCAGTGGTCTTTTTTCTGTGCTCTCAATATGTCGTGGGAATCAAATGCTTATTATCTTTTGTTCACCGATTATCGTCGGGATGCAATACGTGCCTGATTTTGATATAATGGCGTATACATTGATTGTCGATGTAACACAGTATCTTCCGATTCCCTCTCGTAATTGCTTGATAGGGGATGATCTTGGTATCATTTCTTCATCGGCGGGACCAATGACCCTACTTACTGAGTTGAAATCTATGTGTAGTCTTAACTCTTTTATTTACTGCCTTTTTCTTCTCAATGGCAGGTCATGTTGCGAAATATAACTCGTATGAGATGCTGAGATATTTGCAAAACTCCGGACCACAGGTGTATGCAGTGGCGAGCGAACGCGTGCTGTTGTCCTTACCGGGGAGCAGCGCACTTCACTATTTCACAACATGACCTGCCATTGAGAAGAAAAAGGCAGTAAATAAAAGAGTTAAGATTGTGATTATAACTAGGCCTCAGCTTAACTGGGTTCAATGCCGATATTGGCTCCCCAGATCAATCCCGTTGACGGGTGATTGCTGATGGCAAAAAGATCGATAGAACTAGCTGAGAGACATGCAATGCGAAGGACCCGGATGGTGTAGTGGTGAAGTGCGCTGCTCCCCGGTAAGGACAACAGCGCGCGTTCGTTCCCCACTGCATACACCTGTGATCCGGAGTTTTGCAAATATCTCAGCATCTCACACGAGTTCTATGTGTAGTTTTAAGGCAAAATGGGTACATATTCTGGTAGCTTGTCCTAGGCTATAGAAGCCATTCTTTTCTGCCATAGTTTCAATTTTGTTCCCACTGAATCCTTTTCGAAAGCTTGTTTGCATGGGTAGCCGTCCTTTATCCAATGTTCTGTTATCGTTGAGATGACCGTGAATAACTTTGATTTTTTAAAATTTTTTCGCTAGTTCTTCAGCCCATTCTCCTGGCTTCTCAAACGATACCTATGTATATCTACAATGCCTGGACAGTATTTCCTGTTCTCTAGGCAGTGAAAAATTAGCAGGACTATGCTGTTGCAAAAGAGTATAGATATACACCATCGATACATGTCGCTTAATCAGTCTGCTGTCTTCTTTTTGTTATAATGACTTTAGAAGGTGTCTCATGCTTTCCGTTCCATTTCAGCCATTCGACCTCGTTATTAGGTTTCTCACAAATTCTTGAACTAACCTTAGTATTAGGATTTGTGGTGATAGCCTTGTAGGTATCTTCTATGAATAGAATGCCGCCACCTCATTCCCGCAGCTTAATGATTGAATGTTGGGAAAGACTATCGTCAAAATTGGAATCTTCTTCACAACTTGGACCGTAAACTCATGATATGGTGCTCTGGTTATTCAAGGGAATTGATGTCCATGAACAAACCCATTTTGAGGAAAGCGACGACTCCACCACTATGGAATCATCTGTGGAATAGTTTTCCGGTGTCTTCGCGAGTGTAATAAATATAGAACAAGGAAACAAGACATCAATTCTTCTAATACTTCCACATGCAAAGTCTTCATGGTTTGAGCGCCTGACTTTAAAAAAGGCAATGGCACCGAACGGTTAGATATAATATGACAATGTTACATAATTTGGTGTAAGCTCACAAAGCAATCTGTTGTTTATCGGAATCTCATTGCGAGAATATGTTCACTTTTCGTCGGCGTTTAACTTTCTAATGCCACTAGAAGATAACTCAAATAAGTACTTGCTCTACAATATATAGTGACATAAATGCTAGGGTAGCACGGCTTGCATTTCCACATTCCAAAGCCATGGTCGGAAAATCTGAATGAGGATTGCTTCATGGAAGCTCATTTTCACAGTGTTATGGCAGCACTTGTTGATTGTCGCGGCACGATGGAATGAAACAGTGATCATTCAAAACCTTTGCACTAATTTACAACCTCGGTTCCTCCGGATGATTATACTCGCTTCGCATGCGTAGGAACGTTGAAATCATAAAATATTGTGCCCTCTTTATACAAGAGGAAGCTTTCGCAATTGAATGCTTATATCTCCTGTTGACGAGTAACTGCTGTTGGCACTGATAAATTGAAAATCAGCAGAGCGAAAAGCAAAAGAAATGATCCGCATAGTGTGGTGGTGAACGCTATAGCCCCTGGAAAGAGTAATAGTGCGTCCGTTCCTCACCGCAGACAACTGCGGTTCGAAGTTTTGCAGATATCTCAGGGTCATTGTGGTTGTGTCGCACATGATACCCTAACTTGAAGAATTGTAATGGGCATTAAATAAAAAGTTAAGATTGTGAATACATATATTTCGAAATGAAACGTACAGTTTACGATTGAAGGTGTGAGCTTCCTTTCTCGCCTCACAATCTACTAAAATTTGTTATAAACAGTTGCAGATTTTTTCAATTTCAACGTCGTCAACAAGATCTTATGCAGTCTGCCATTGCGGTGGTGGAAGACGAATGACGAAACGTTGGACGTCTACTACGACAAGCTTTTCACTATAATCAGCAAGTATGTAGTTCTCGCATGCAGTCCATTGAGTTTTATATACTCCATGCGTGTATTATTATGCCTAGAATTTAGTTGGTTAAGTTTGAATAAGTTTATTTAATTAAGGAGTTGTAAGAATATACAGGATTTATCAATGCGCCGCATTACAGATGCCGGCAAGAGACCTATTCTGTGTTGTTAATTCCACTCAGGAAAAACCATAAGAGACGCGTAAGCGAGGGAAGCCTTTCAAGCAAATACAACTTTCAAGTGAGTAGTTTCTTCAAAGGTCTCCTTTGTAAACTGTTATTCCATAGATGTGGTGTGTGATTCCCACTCTTCATTTTCAAGTTTACGAAATCAGGAATCGAATTCTTTCTCTTGGAGTAGGATAATGATTTTGTTCGTGTTTTTTGACTTTTTCTGTGCAGCATTTCGTCCACCTTCTCTTGAAATTCACATAAATATCTCCCCCATTTTACCGGCTCACTTTGGACTGCAGAAGAAGTCCATGTTATTTTCTTCCTGACGTTTCCGTGAAAATGTTTCCGCGACTACCGAATCAACTGTTACTTTGAGTTTTGACGAACTTTTTAGTGTGGTGAGCTGCATAGTGTTTCTGATTTTGAGACGTCTAACAGATGAGGACGTTCTATGCTGTTTTCTTTTCTATTATTAGGCCTAACGCCGTATAGTTACTCATGCTCAGTTTTAACCAAGATAACTAGAGCATTAGATAGTGTTTATACTATTGAACATTTCTGGTATATGAGTACCATTTTTCTTCATGAACGTTCTGTTTTGACTCCAAATGAGATCGTTGGTTGTGATCATCGTAGCCTTTGTCATCCGTTATATTACCATTTACATGTAAACTTCTAATTATTTATAGTTCCTGGCGTTTCTTGTTGTAGGGTCTGACCAAATATTGATGGAGTTACAAAGTTTTATGAATAATTCTTGTAGCTAAATAATATGAGAAGTGCTGGAAAAAACCGCGGCTCCTATTTCTTTCTCCAACGGTGAAACTTTCCAAAAAAGAAAGCTGTGCTTGCGGATTCTTTTCGCTATTGAATTGGTGTCCATTTCGTTGAAATGGCTTTCTTGTGCTTTTTAGAAGCAATACAATTGTTTGGGGAGTTTAAAAAGAGTGACAGTGTTTCTGACTGTTGAACTGCGTCGTCCAGGAAGGAGTTTATTTTTCCATCAAGGTCACCGAAATGGGGTCACATGATAGGAATGATAAAAGGGTTTAATCTCAGGTTTCCTGCTTTTTCGTGTATTTTGTACCTTCCTGACTTCACCTTTAAGTACATATATATTCTTGATAATTGACATAATTGGGCGAGGAAAAATTTGGTAGATCTATAAAAGAAGCTATAATTCCAGTGTAATTTGATGTAATACGTATTTTTTATAAATTATTTCTTAATCTTCAACATTGTGTGCAGTAAAGGATTTTAAAGTATCCACAAAATTCAAGCTTTTTAAAGCTTCCAGCGCAAGTGCGGCGGTCGCAGACATGAACTACTCGATAGAAGAACCTATCGAGACCCACGAAAACCTTACTCTGTAATTTCTTATTTGCTCGCAGTAAAAGCGTCAGTGAAGAAAAGCACGAAAGTCCTTATATTAGGCACCAAGAAATCAGAATGTGGTAGTTCGCAGACACCAACAACATAATGTAGTATAATGTATAATATACTTATCACATTATAAGAAGAATAGATGATAGATGAACAAAAGGAACAGCTGCTTGTGTCTTATATCAACGATTTGCGTCCACAGATAAAATCAGTTTTTGGATAATGGGATATGACTCACACACGTCACCATGTTTGAAGCAAACCACCACCATGGGCGATGATTTTGCTACAAAGAAACGAATGAAAGCTGCTGGCACCAGCACCACTCGTGAGTACGGGCCACCTTCATGTATAAAGAATTACGGTTCAGCTGGGATGTGTTTGCTTAAATTGAAAGCAACCATTATTTTCACACGATGCGCATTGCAATCCGTGCACTTAGTTTTTAATGTGTTAGTTGTTTTATTTCGTTACATCTGGAAATGGGAAGAACATAGAACGCAATTCATAATGCCCTTCAGTAAGTAAGTCCCAGATTGGACTCGTGAGCCATCCATGATTATCGCTTCAATAAAATTACTGAAAATAAAATCCCTATTGGTGGTTTTTTGATACAGCGAATGTAGCCCCAATGAATAGCTTTGGTTGCCAAAATACGAATGGGGGACTTTACTGGACCCTACACGTGATTATTAGAAAATCAGCTAAGCCGAAATAAATAGATTGGTATTCTTCATTTTGTCCGCAGTTATACCTAGGAAGAAAGGCGTGACTATGATAGAACATTGCCTTTTATTAAAATGTCTTAATAGAATGGTGTAAAGACTGTATTCATATTTTATAATGTATTACTTCTTGATGTTAACCTCTCATTTGCTGCTTACCATAATTTTTCACGGTAGAGTATGATGTGAAATACAACCACAACGATGCTGAGATATTCGCAAAACTTGGACTCCTGGCCAGATCGAACCACGATTATCCTTTCCGTGGGCTCGTGTGTTACACACTTCACCTCTTAGGCCCTTGCTTTGCGTTTCTCTCAGCTAATTTTCCACCCATCGCTGCCATCAACAATCAGCCGTTAGCGGGATTTGTCTGGTGAGCACAAATTGGCATTAGTTACCAATTACTAGTTAAACTGAGGCTGTTGTCGAAATCACAATGTTCTTTTATTTGTTGGTTACTATAATTTTTTCGACTACAACATCGTTGCGGTTATATTGCTTCTTGGTTTTGTCATTGTGGTCGTTAGTAATCTGAAACGAAAGCTTTTGTAAGTAGTAAACTCGATACCACGGTGTTCAGGCGAACCTACAATAGAGCTGTATGTGAGACGCTGGTGGCGGTGATTTCTGAAGTGTTCATGATGCGGAAACAAAAAAGGTCAAGGTGAAAAAGTATATTTGCAGGTGCTCATCATGCGTCGTTTGATAACGCGTACGACACAGATGTATGTGTGTCTTCTGGAGACAAAGCTTCCTCGGCTGACATTTTCCGAAAGAAGTTGCGCAATCGATCTTTTGGTGCCGCATGATCTCCCACGAACCTTTGATTTCACCGTTCCGCAAGCCTCTCTGCTCCATCGGGGTCATGCTTTGAACCTACCACCCGTGCATGATCCTTTCATTCATAGCCCTTTATGTATCCCAATGTTACATCAGACAACATCGTTAGATCTCCCAATACAACATCCCACTACTCCTATCGAATTATCCACTTGTACCTCGATGGGCCTTACTCCTTTATCTAGTAATCGAATTATCACATCAAATGTGTTCGATTTTCTACTAGATGATCCCACTTTGGGACACTAATGTATAGGGATGATTTACAGCATATCTTTTTGGTCTCTGTATATTGTTGATAGAATCATTACTAATGAGCTTAGATCAGTCCTATTGATTCATGCTGCTATCTTTGTCCGTTCCAGTTTTCCGCACTTTTCTTTCCCCGAAATAAACGCCTCAGGAACAAATGTTGTGCAAATGCACGACGTCGCATAAATATTTTTTCGTTCTCTATAGAATATTATCATATGGCTTTTCCTTCGTTACAGTATGTCTTTTGCTTCATCTATGGATTTTATGTCATTTCCTACTTCAGGTTCTGTAAATGGTGCTAAGCCGTTGTTCCAGTTTGGGAACATCTGCAGTTCCGTCGTAGTTGAACAAGAGAAGAACGAATGCAGTCCGTTTCCTTATTTCAAAAACTTAGCTGCTGGAACTGAGTTGCAAATGTATTCAGTTTCTTATGTATCTATGGCATAAACAATGTTTTAAAGTGTCCGTGATATGTCGCTATGTGTCAAGCAGTGGTTTAGCAAAGTTTCCTCTAACACTGAACTGCAAAGTGAAGTTTAAAAACCTAGTCCTTTTAGTACGAGCGGGAATTGCAGTGATAGAGATGCTCCCATTTCTCCTTATCGCATGCGAGAGTAGCTCAGTAGGCTCCGCTTGCTCTGAAGACTCGTTGAGCATCACATCATTCTTCTAAGGTTTTTATGAAGAATTCTGACCATGGGACGGGTGTATTCCTGCCATACCTTTGACATCTCAAACAATCCACTCGCTAACAGCTCTTCTCCATTGATTGTCACTCAGATGCATTGCGTGTCTGGGCCGCCTTATCTTCAACTTTTTATTTTACGTAACCCTTCATCAGATTCATTTTGCGAATCCCAGCGGTTCTTGCATTATATTCGGATACTCGTGTCCAACATCCACAAAGGTTCTCGAACACTTGGCGTGTTTCTCGGGTGCTGATTGAGGATCTCTTCTTCTTCATGAATGTCTTAGAGTGCTGCTCGATTCAGTTCTTGCAGTTTTGGAAATAGCCGCTCTACGCTGTTCCCACGTGAACCGGTGGAGAGCATTGGGGTCGGGGATCGAACTAGCACCTTTACTTATTGATCGACGGCATCATTTACCACTCTGTGCTATTCCAGCCCATCTTCGAGAATTTGTCCTCCAAAACGGCGTTTTCGATTTTTGATTATTGATTTAGGTCGGGGCTACGGATTCCTCTCATTTGCGTGGTACGCGATTGTCCTAGCATCGTCCTTTCGACTGCACGTTCAATCACGCTGAGTGATCTTTCATCCTGCTTACGTACCGACCATATTTCTGACGGTTAGATTGAGACAAAAGAATCGTGGATTAGATAAGGTGGGCATGGAGTTGGGTCTTCTTTGTTCTCCTCACTGCATCCTCGATGCTGTTGAAAGCTCCTAAGACGTTTGTTGCTTCTTCCTGCTCAGCTCTGGAGCTAAGTGGTTCACAATGTTTATTTTGTGACCTAGTAGATGCAGCTGAAGCATTCGGAGATATTTATTCTGTTGAGCGTGAATGAGACACACGTAACCAGTCCTTTCTTCATGAACATCGTTTTTCTGAGATTTAGTCGAAGACCAATTTTTCCACAGGGGTTATTAAAGTAGGTAAGCATTCGTTCCGCCTGGCTGATGCTTAGTATTATAAGGACGATGTCATCAGCAAAGCGAAGATGGTGTAACTGTCGACCGTTGATTTTTACTCCGATTTTGTTCGACTAGAGTGTTTGTATGACGTTCTTGACGGTGCCAGTAAATAATTTTGTAGAGATACTATCGTCTTTCCTAACCCTTTTTTAAAAGTTCGTTTTCTCAGTGTTCTGCATGTTCGGACGTGAGTTGGCTGTTGGGTGTCGCTCATACGACTCCAGTTGGTGCATCTGCTCGAGTATTTCTGGACACACACGTCATTTGATGACTTTCGAACTCAGGTTTCGTAGTTCTAGCGTGAAGATGGTGAAGGAGGCGATCGCATTCCTCGTCGATATTGTCAATAACGACGTCTTCTCAACAGCCGACCAATGAACTAATGAACTGAAGAAATCCCAGTTTATAGTGGTTTTTAGACCCGTTTCCTGAACTTAACGGCTAGTTTTCTTTTTTGCGAGGAATGAAATCTTGCACGAAAGAGGCGATGGTCTGTAGAATCGACGTGTAGAATTTGCGGGGACAACTGCCACAATAACCGCGTCTCTTTACCCATCAAAAGAAAAATGTCGTTCACTCGATCGCGAAATGGCTGCCAACAAGACAGTATTTATTATTTTATTATTATTACTTCATTACTGGACATCACATGCATCGCACTATGTGGATCCCAGTCCTCTTTGGCTTCGATTCGTTTCGCTGGTCGAGTCGATTTCAGTAGACTCCTGGGATAGCCACGGTTGAAAATCCTCACGTGGATTGGAGGAATTGAGCTTGCCCCAAACAAGTCTGGTGCCAATCCCTCCGATCCTAGGAGGATAAGACAATATTGGGTAACAAGATTATGAAGCGATCGAACAGTCTAAGCTAGGATAACCTTAAAGCACCACAGTGACAAAAGGTACTTGGCACACTAACGACGGATGTTCCAGTTGAGGGCATGATGGATGATGAATTTGACTTGTAAAGTAAGACTGTGTATGATGTCATCTGGCATTGTTGAATTGCAATCTTAATAATTAATAGTGCTAATTAATAGTAATGTTTAATTTAATGCCTAATTACATTGTTTTCACTTCGCTGATCACATCGTATTTACAACTCCAAGCATGCATCAGGTGAAATTAACTCAGTGTGCACCAAGGTACAGGTGGTAGCCCGGGCGCTTCTTAAGCAGGATAAAAAGCCTTTAACGTCCTCTCACGTACTACTTAAAGGAGTATTCTGCGAGTGCCCGTACTATTCTCTACCCAGTAAGGAATTCTCTCTATCTTCTCATATTAGTAAACATTTCTCATTTCAGCAATTTCCACGTATTCAATTTGTCTGCTTCGATGCGCTACATCCACAGCTAGTTATAACCGCGAGGCATGCCAAGATGACATGCCACAATAATCTAACGGCCGTTTTCACCCACGGCAAGCAAAGGTGGCTTCTTTGCACTCAGCTAAATACTGCTGCTTCCAGCTTGTCTATTCCATGACGTAGACCTCACGTGCTGAGCTTTCCTTTCATATAAGCAAGTAGTGTCTGTAACAGCAATAGCAGCAATAATATAGTGTAACAGTTCTATATCCTCACAATAAACGACGAATTTATTACAGAAGCCGCTGTTATTGTAACTACACTTCCTTACCTGTGTTGCACCTCCCTATTGATCATGGGACCATATATATTGTGTGCAAACTTGTTGACGTTACATACAGAGATTTGGTTGCCCAAGTTTGAGATAGACTATGAAATGCGGGTTCCAGTGTTTCGATTTAACCATGCCATCAAAAATTGGTTAATACTGCAAGATGTTGAAGATAAAATAGGGCAGAAATGAGTAGTGAAATCTGAGCCAGCAAGTGTCAAGTGCATCGCAAGAAGGCTAGCAATCAGAATTTCCTCAAAACCTTGCGTAGAACTAAATGGGCAGCTATCACACCACTAAGACTAGTGCGAAACTATGTGCACACTTTCACGGGTTGCTCGACGATCAACGGGTGTACAACTGACGGGAGCACCACCTAGATCCTAAGTCAATAGTGCTGGCGAGTATCAATGCTCAGCTGCCTGACCCAAAGCAACTGCCGGCGGCGCAGCTGCGTCGCGTGCTGAAGATTTCTTCATTCTGTTGCAACCTTTCGCAAAATTTCGTATAAGTTGTCTCACATGACTTGGCAGTCCTTACGCTGTGTATCTACTCACTACATTTACTTATTGCCACCTTACAAATGATACTTCTTGTCACAGATATCACGCTTGCTGTTTATCGGTTTTATAGGAAAGCAATGTCTCTATGAAGTTACGAGCACCTTTAAGGTTGTGTTCTTGTCACATCATAGTACGTCGTCACTTAATCACGTGTGTCACATGTAGTCCCGTTGGTCGTCGAGTGACTCGAGCGGGTGCCAGTAAATCTTCCATTTTCCCCTGTCGCTTGCAGGTGTAGCTCAGTGGGTTCTGCTCGCTCTAGGGACTCGTCCAGCATCATATCTTTCTTCTAGGCTTTTCTTGAAGAACTCTGACCATCGAGTAAGTGGTCTTCCTGTAGTGCGTTTAACATCCCGAAGAATCCAGTCACTAACGGCTTCTATCCATCGGATGTCAATCATACGCATTGCCTATCATACGCATTACGTGTCCTGCTCATCTTATCTTCTTCGACTGTTTGGCGTACAGAACAGCATCTTTGATTTTTTATCGTTGACGCAGTCAGGAACCCCGCATCCCTTCCTTTGCTTGTGTCAAACGGGATACTCCTAGCAACGTCCCTTCGACTGCGTGTAATTATAACGCTGAGTGATTTTTCATTCTGCTTACGAAGCGACCAAGTTTCTAACGTATACGTTACGGCAGGAAGTACCGTTGAGTCGAAAAGATGGGCACGGAGTCGGGTATTCTTTGTCCTCTTCACTACATCCTCGATGCTCTTGTAAGCTCCCCAAGCCGCTCGTTTCCTTCTGCTCAGCTCTGGAGCTAAGTCGTTCATCATATTGATTTCCCGATCTAGATAGACATAACTGGAGCATTCGGAGATATTCGTTGCGTTGAGCGTGAATGGGGCATACGAAACCAATCCGTTCCTCATGAACATCGTTTTTGTGAGATTTAGTCGAAAACCAGTCTTTCCACAGACTTTATCAAAGTCGTTAAGCTTACGTTCCGCATGGCTAATGTTTGGTGTTATAAGGACGATGCTATCAGCAAAGCGAAGATGGTGTAACTGCCGACCATCGATTTTCAATCCCGTATTATCCCATTCCAATGTTCGCATGGTTCTGGAGGGTGGGGGTAAATTATTTTGGCGAGATGGTGTCGTCTTGNCCCCGCATCCCTTCCTTTGCTTGTGTCAAACGGGATACTCCTAGCAACGTCCCTTCGACTGCGTGTAATTATAACGCTGAGTGATTTTTCATTCTGCTTACGAAGCGACCAAGTTTCTAACGTATACGTTACGGCAGGAAGTACCGTTGAGTCGAAAAGATGGGCACGGAGTCGGGTATTCTTTGTCCTCTTCACTACATCCTCGATGCTCTTGTAAGCTCCCCAAGCCGCTCGTTTCCTTCTGCTCAGCTCTGGAGCTAAGTCGTTCATCATATTGATTTCCCGATCTAGATAGACATAACTGGAGCATTCGGAGATATTCGTTGCGTTGAGCGTGAATGGGGCATACGAAACCAATCCGTTCCTCATGAACATCGTTTTTGTGAGATTTAGTCGAAAACCAGTCTTTCCACAGACTTTATCAAAGTCGTTAAGCTTACGTTCCGCATGGCTAATGTTTGGTGTTATAAGGACGATGCTATCAGCAAAGCGAAGATGGTGTAACTGCCGACCATCGATTTTCAATCCCGTATTATCCCATTCCAATGTTCGCATGGTTCTGGAGGGTGGGGGTAAATTATTTTGGCGAGATGGTGTCGTCTTGCCTAACCCCTCTTTTGACCTCAATGTTAATATGATTGTCGAATAGTGATATCTTGGTTGTGAAATTTTTGTACAGCTCACAAAGAATCTTTACTGATCAGGGACTCCTTGACAATCAAGGGCCTCCATGACCGCTTCTATCCAATTCGATAAAAAGCCTTCTTTAAATCGATGAAAGTGAGACAGAGAGGTCTTTTCTACTCTTATGATACTTCAATGAGTCTTATTATGGTGCGGATGTGGTCCATCGTACTAAATCCTTTTCGAAACCATGCTTGCTCCTTCGTCCAGTGTTCTGTCAATGCTGTTTAAGATGACTTGAGTGAAAAGTTTGTAGACGACAGACAGCAAGCAGATTGGACGATAGTTATCGATATCGTGTAGGTCACCCTTGTTGAACAATAACACGGTTTTTCTGGTCCTCACAGAGTAGGGACCCTGCATTCAGAGAGGTAACGTGTGAAGAGCCGAGCCAGTGTGTTTACGAGGACTGGCGGAAGGTTCTTCAGGTGTTCTGATCTTATGCTGTTGTTGTTGTTGTTGTTCGATTTTTCACCGACGTGATGGTAGTATTCGTGAGTGATTTTCTCCGTTGCCTTAATGGACGCTGTAGCTGTTCCGTCTGGGCGTCGGAGTGCAGTCATCTTGTTCTTGTAATTGGCGATTCTTCGGTGGGTTTTGCGAATGCTTTTCCCAGCCTCTGCAGCTTCGACCATTACTGCTGCTCTTATCTCTTTAAGATCTTCTTTTATTGCCTGTCTATCTTGTTCCTCAAGTTGCAACGTTAGTTCGTGTTTGCCTGCTTACCTGCACCTCGTGTGATTCCATGCTGGCGTATTAGCTCGAGTGTTTCTGGAAACAGAAATCTCTTGGTTACTATCGAACACTCAGCTTTCATGGTGCTAACGTGAAGATGTTGAATGGGCTGATCGTATTCTTCCTCGATGTTATCGACAGAGGCATCTTCCCAACAACCGACTAATGAATTGAATAAGTCTCAGTTTATGGTGGTTCTGGGGTTTCGGTTTTTGAATTTGGCGGCTTTTCTCCTTCACGCGAAAAACAGAATCTTGCACGAAGGAGGCGATGGTGTGATCTCATGTAGAATTTTAGAACTACAGCGACATCGGCTAGGCAAAACTTTCTATTTGCTATGATGTGGTCTATTTCGTTATGGCACTCTCCATTGGGAGACTCCCACGTCCAGCGTTAAGGGTGGGGCTTCTGGAATTGCGAGTTAGCATGGATGGTCTTGGTCTTCATGGTAAACTCATACAGCCGCTCACACTGTTTGTTCTATTCTAATTCATGGGTCCCAATCTGACGTTCTTCAGACCTTCTTCTTGGTCCAGTCTTGGCGTTGAAATCTCTAATGGCAACCTTGAAGAATGTGTGGTCTTCTCTGTAGAACTTTTTCAAGTCAATATAGAGCTATTCCACTTATTCTTCGACATAATTTGTTGTGTGCTCGTGAATGACGAAGGCTGTCAAAGCTGGTATTGATCCACATCTTTTCAATCGTAGACGTCCGATTCGGGTTGTAAGTTGTTCGAATGAGTCGATGTTCATGGACAAACTCGTGTTGACGAGAACGCAGAAACCGCCGACTCCTCTACTGTCGCATGTTCCGAGGAACAGTTTTTCTCCGATGTCGTAGACGGCGTTGAATGGGTGGCGTCGTCTCGTCTCGGCCAAGCCGATGAAGTTGTACTTTGCCCTTCTTGCTTGCATGAGCAAGTCTACTATCGAGGGCTCGGATGCAAGTGTACGTGCATTGTAGGTACAGATCGTCACCATAGTTCTTCGTGATCCAGGCAGCTTCCATTGGCCCTGAGATTTTAACAGCCTCTTCGTACTCATCCTACCCAACGCTGCCGAATTCGGGTCCTTTCGAGGTCAGGAGAACGATGCTCCTTTCTTTTACTGTTTTTAGCCTTTTGATACTCATGTATAGCCTGCTGTGCTCTGAACGTGAGGACTGGATGTACTCTTAGGTGGCTTGCCAGGCTATGTCAAAGTGCACATGGAGCTTATTTGTTGGAGGCGATTCCTAACCACCTCCCATATACTTCCCTGTCACTTGATTGCAGGTTTTTGGCCGAATTCACTCGTAGAATACAATCCTCATAAACTGGAACGCACCCACACGCGCGTGCATGAATACGCCTCGTAAATACAGAGAGTATGTGCCAAATCGGCGCAGGAGAAACAGTGAGTTCATCCTCTAGATCCACCTGCGTCTCAGAGAAGCAAAGTTCACTTTTGGTCCGATTAACCCTCTATCCGCCACCTGGTGACGCGCCTCGTAGCCTCGCGACTAACCGTCTCGATATCCCTCAAATGAGGGAGATCCGTGGTGATGACCCAATAAACACAGATGGTGTTAATTCTTGTTTAATACCAGAACGGTGGCGGATCCTGGAATTGGTTTACTCTTAGGCTGTGGGGATGATTCCCTCTGTTCTACATGGCAGCCCGGCACCCAGGAACACCCAGCCACCATGAGGCGGTAAACCGTTGAGGTGTTTTTGTATTTACATATATATATGTATATATATATATGTAGAAGTGTATGTACGTTTATGTGTATATATGTATTATATAGTCTGTGTTTCGTACTGCCATTTGCTTGATCGGGCTTCAGTTGAGTAATTATTACAATTACCGATACCATCTAGATAGTAAGTACTACTCGTTCTCCTACAAAATTAGAGATTTTTTTATGGTGACTGCTTCTTTTTTTCCTATGTTAATTTCGTGTGTCAAACTTTTTCAGACATTGGTGCGAATGATCGATCGGTTACGGGCTTAACGTAACTTCTTTACGGTCTCGTATAACACAATCTGTCAGTCTAAGCGTTGTTCTTAAAGAGTTCGTCTTCATGGACTTTATGATTTCACAGTTCTGCGATGAGAACTCACACCATGTGTTCAATACCAACAACAGGTTGATCATTTTGTATGGAAGGCTTGGAGTTTTTAATTTCCGCCTTATTGCCTAGTTATTTGGGACAAATTTGTTGTTCACAAATGAGTGAACGGTTTGATCTTATCAGTGGATAAAGGATTAATAAGCAGGAACGTGTCCAAACCAAGAAAAGTATCCACTTCGCGTGTTTTGAACTCTTTTTGTTGTAGGGAACACTGGTGCTATTTCTTATAATTTTAGTGTGGTCCTTTATTTCAAATTAGGCACAGGAATTGAGTGATAATCGGGAGTCTCTTCCTGATTATGAATTTGCTCTGGTTCGGCAAAATGATGCAGTATCATTTATCACTTGCATACTTGGATGATCGTCATCGTTGGTTGTGCAGATCCTAGCATAATTTCCAATATTTCTGAGTTTCGCTGGTTTAACCATTGTGGTTCCCTGGCGTCTCGAAGTCAGCCAGTGTGCTCTAGGTCGTCTCCACACAGGCAGTCACCGCCCTTGTGGATCAGAGTGGGATTTGCTACCATACGATTAGTTTAATACCAAAACGGTGGTGGATCCTGGAATTGGTTTACTCTTAGCTGGGTTTCCTCATGGAAAACGCCGAACTCCTCAGCTCGGGAGACCTTGCTGTGGGGATGACGCCCCCATTCTATATCGCAGCTCGACACCCAGGAATACCTCCCAGCCATGGTGAGGGAGTAAACCGTTTGGAGGATGTTAACCATTGTTCATGTTAAAATGTAGAATCCTTAAGCGAGATTTATCGAAAATCGCTTATTTAAACATTATAGTTGTTTTGGTTAGTAGATTTAATTTACTTCGTTCTAAGCTGCTGCCTCTTGCTCGCGCTTAAATCTCAATTTAGGAAATCAACTGATGATCTTTACACACTGCAGTGCGTTGACGAAAAAATCTCAAATAAAGAGAATCGACTGCCACCTGAAATGGAACTTGGTAATATAGAATATAAGGTGTGCTTTCTTAGTATCGAGAGTATATTAGGTACTTTTATACATGTCACATGGTAATCTCATTGATTAGGTAAAACTAGTTAACCCATCTTCTTCACGTCTCCAGCACTTAATCACACAAATGAAATGGCGTTTAAGAGAAGGACAAGGAGAAGCTATCTACGAGGTAATTCTCAGTGATCTTATTTCAGGCTTCCTTTCATTAAGATTTTTTTTTGTTTGTCCATGCTCGATGGTGACATTTCAGTGGAGTGAATACGACGGTTCCACTATTATTTCTAAGTGTGAAAATCATGCCGAAATCTTTTTAGGTCGGGGTTGAAGATAATGGTGAGTTGCGTGGTTTATCCGATGTCGAATTGGAGGAATCACTGGTTACATTACGAGCGATGACACACGCTCTTGGTGCTAGCATGGTTATCGTACGTGTTACGCGATTTTTTCCGCTTTTCTGTCTTTCCACTTGTATTTACCTTACTTTTTATTTTTCCTTTTTTCTTTCTGCATTCCTGGGATATGCTAAACTCTGTTCTTTTTTCAAACACAGTTTGTTCCAGTTAACCGAGAAAGACGTAACCTCTCGTAATAGCTGCCCACGTCGTAGAGTCGTTGAAGTCTTAGTCCGCAAAGTTCCGGAATGCCAACAGTTCATCGAGTTGAGGTGAAAAATGTTCTGAGTGTCGAAGTTATTTTTCGGTTAACGTGTAGAATCTGAAAAAGAATCTAAAATTGTAGTAGCTACATATCTGAACAATCTCCGTACACTTTTTTGTCCTGCTTGAAATTAAGATGATTGCAGAGGTGTTATATTTAGGTTAGCCGTACTAGGAGGTGCAGACGTTGGTAAATCTACGTTGTGTGGTGTTATGACGCAAGGTTGTCTTGATGATGGCAATGGGAAGACCCGTCTGAATCTCTTCAGGTTAGCGCATAACCGCGGGCCATGGATTTCGCTGCTGTTTCTAGACAGTGTGGATGGATATTACGTTATTAATTATGATTTGTATTCTTCCTCTGTTAAGGTTTCCTCATGAGGTTCGTAGTGGTAAAACAAGTTCAATATGTCTAGATGTGATCGGATTTGATTCACAAGGAAAGGTTGGTTTACTTTTCTTTTCGCTTGAGGCTCTTCTTCCTACGTTCACCCATCAAGTAATGAGGTCTATTTTAGCTTGTCAATTATGCCCAAAACAGCCTGGAGGAACTCGTTGAGCGTTCTAAAAAATTAATAACGCTAATTGATCTTGCCGGTGATTCTAAATATCTGAAAACTACCATACATGGATTATCTGGATATAATCCCCATTTTGCTTGTCTGTAGGTTTTTTTTTCGTGATATCGTATTTATGAAACTATCTACAGACGTTTTGTTTGTGCACATTTTAAATACTAAATATGTTAGTCACAGATTGGTGTGTGCTGAAACTGGGCCTACTGCAGCTACCAAAGACCATCTTGGACTTGCCGCGGCTCTCAGTATTCCGGTTTTCTTCATAATAACGAAATGCGATCTTGTTACAAAAGAGCAGCTTCACAGGCTAGTTAGATGTTTTGAAGCACTACATTTATTTCTTTATAGCAGTCGGAAGGCTTGTTACAAAGTTCCGATTTAATTTGTCTTCCTTACCGCTTTGAAATATCTGTTACAGAGTGGTCAAGTCGGTATCTTCTTTGCTGTCTCGGGCAGGCATGAATGCTGGTGTCAGGCGGATCAAAAGGAAAAGAGATGCTGTCAAGTACGGCTTTCTTTCGGTTCCTTCTTGCTACAGTATGGCAGATCATTGTTTCGTTTTTCCTTTTTTTAAGAAGTGCTTCATTTAGAGCCGCAGGTGAGCTTTGTTCTATCGGAACGGTGCCAATCTTATGTATCTCGTCAGTCACTGGCGCAGGGCTTGGCCTTCTTCGCTGTTTTCTCAATGTGTTACCTCCAACTGGAACTACAGGAGCTCGACTTCAGTTGATCACACAATCTCCCCTTTTTACAATAGAAGAGATGTTTAACGTTCCACATGTTCGTTCCGAAGTTTTGTAGACTTTCTAGCAATTCATCTTAACTTTTCGTGCAGGTCGGAACTGTGGTCGGTGGAATGCTATGGTCAGGACGTCTTCAGGAAGGGGACTCGGTTTTGGTTGGACCGTATAGAGATGGAAGTTTTGAGAGGGTATGTCTACTTAGAAGAAAGTGGCTTGCTTATGAAGTGTCACAAAGGTCTTTCTCAAAAATAAGTCCTACCATAAGCTTATAGGCAAGTATTGGTTCTATTAGACGTAGTCGTCAACCTGTCCAAGCAGTCTTGCCGGGTGAGGCAGTCAGTATTGCTCTTCATCGACGTTCTGAGCCTTCACTACCTTTGAGACGAGTAGGTTCATATCTTTGTTGTGATTGTTCTTAACCATTTGTAACCTTCTTTGCTCCATCTTGCTCACCACTGCTTAATGTTATTGATTTTTTATGCTCCATTTTTCCTACCAGTTTTAATGCCTTTGAAAACATTTCCTAAACAGTGTTTTAGCTATCATATTTAAGGGAATGGTATTGATGTCCGTATCTTCCAAACCATCATGCTGTCATCGATTCGTCGCATCTTTGTTCCTGTTGTCTCACTCCTCATCCTATCTTTGCATTGGCTTTCAGGCTACAGGTATACTTGCATCTTATTGTGACGTAGTTTGTGACATGTGTCATTTTATGTGCTATCCACATTCGTTTGGTGTCATTGAGGATCTAATGTAGTGAATTCATAGTGTACATTGGTTCGGTTCGACAAACTGCTGCTGTAGTGGATATGGATCGACCATCACTAGGACAAGGAAAATGGGCCACCGTTATGTTCGAGTTAATGAGTGGTCCAGAACATATCAGAGCTGGCACACCACTAATACTTCGCCAAGGAAGGACAAAAGGGATGGGTGAAGTAATTGAAATTATGGAAAACCGAGAGTGAAAGATTTCCAATTAACCTAGTACAATCTGAATTGTGTTAGGATGTATAACCACTGTGTGTTACCGTTCTGCAGATGATTTCCTGCCCCAGTTGTAGAATATTCCTATTTGAATACCGATGCAATCATTAAATATTAATTGTTTCACATTGCGAGTTGTTTGGCGTATTACTTCCTAGAGCTTCTTTTCTACTAGGAACATTTTTCATTTGTTTTTTGAATTATTGACATTTTTATTTCTTCCAAAGATGTTTAAACTACCAAGTTGGTCAATTTTGATGAAATCGTTTGCAAATATGTGCACATGTCTAGTGTGTTAGTGTGAAGATGTAAGTAGTCCCGTATATGTAGATATTATATCTCTTATGTCTCAGCTTTGGCGGATGGCTTGCATTTCGCGTGTTCTTACCCGTGCATACTTTTTCGTAATTGGTGAAGGTGTTCACCTTAGTAGATTACTCAAAAATCCAGAAAAATTTCTCGTAGTCCAGATTCCTGCTAGCTTGCTTTCATTCGTACGGACTGATATAGATCACGGTGTTTCAGATGTAGGGTGTCGCTGTCGTGTATTAATGTCGAGAAGCGCTCGTGCTCGGGAATGAATATTTAATCAATTCTCATGTTGTATGAGACATTGCGCAAGGACACGTGTAATGGTTCGAGTCGCCCTGCAGTACACAAGAGATCGATCCCAGCGGCCAAGTCCACCAAGCCCTCCCATCGCTCCGAGGTCGACAAATTCGTACCAGACTTGTCTGGGAGGGTAGCAGCATTGGGTCGATACACCGGTGTGGCACCGCGAGTCACTATAAAGGCCAGATATGCATTCAATCACCTCCAACGATGCTTAGTGAAGTTCAATGCATGGCTGGTCCCTTAGGGATTGATCAACGCCGAGGGCTTTGTCCTTTATCCATTTTCTATGAGATATGGTGCCCCTTGGTCATGATGTTTGGTAAGTCTGAGCAATATATATATATATGTACATATGTGTATACATATATATGTGTATATATGTGTATGTATATATGTATGTGTGTATATATGTGCGTATATATATACATATATACACATGTGCATATATATATACATATATATTTAATGTAGAAGAAAGCCGACGTCACCTTGCTAACAATGGACTTCATTGCCTTGTGAGCCTATATCATACGTCCAGAGTTGCTTTTATTGTAGCCCAATATAGTGAGATCTCATAATTCCAGTTATTTATTATCCATCATATTAAACGTGCTGGTTTACATAAAGTCAAGGCTTAAGCTTCTTAATTTGGATCGGACATGAACTTTGTTGTGTATCATAGTTTCGCCGTCCGATATGATCTGAAAATGTAAATAAACAAACAAACTAAACTAACTGAATAACTAATAACTCGACAAATAAACTCGAACTGATAACTAATAACTCGACTAACTAATAACTGAATAAACTCGACATCGAAAAATCACTGTGACATATTACGCTAAAACCACTAATTATACTGAAGCAAAAGCTGATTTAACAGTTTAATGACTTATATAATCTTATAAACTGATCTTTAGCTGATCCGAGGTTGGTACAGGTCTTCGTTGCCGTTGTCGTTGTTGTTGGTGTTATTGATCGATGGCTGACGTTTCGGCGACTTCGCCTTCCTCAGAGTCTGGACGTACTTTATGTTAGAATACTTTTTATTATTCGGTGGAAAAGAAGGTTAAAGTATTAATGAAGATCAAACTTTCAAATAGACGCCATATTGAACAGAAAAGCCACTCACCGTGATGTTTTACCAGTGGGACTGACCCACGAGTTGTTTACGTGGGGTTGCGAGCAAGACACACCCCGGTGTCAAAATATCATTTTGAAATAGGGCGCCAGGTCACGCGTGATAGTGAGGCATTCGTCCTTCCGGTTCATCTTTGGATTTTTGAAATTTATCCAAAACGCCTCAAGAGTTTTGCGCGTTGATGTTTTTGATTCCTGCGCCAGGATCCGCACAGTCACTTCAATATCATCGTTGTGCTTTTCTGGCCTATGCGTACCTAGAGGGTGTTTAAACGGATTTTAGCTTTCCCATGCAGATGTTCTTTTATGCGAACACAAAGTGGTCTACCCGTTTCCCCGATATATTCCTCGCCGCATGCATTACATGAGATCAAGTATATTATACCTAAACGCATGCAATCCCCGTCTCTCCCGTTAGGACAGATCATACAGTTTTCTGAGCTGCACAAACGATCATAGAGACGGTTTCGAACTAACTGACGGCGTAGGGTGTTGGGTGGGATGTCATTAATCGTTACATAATTTTCAAGACCATTTTTTCTTAAGCACTTTCTAATGGCGTGACTTACCTCATTTGATATGAAGGGTAGCCCAAAGGGATCTTACTTACGTCCGAAACATTATTTTAGGGAACTACCCTACGTTTTTGTCTAATCTGAGTGGCTTCAACTTCGTAGCCATTGGAAATGGCTATTTTTCGTGCCAGGTTTTGCGAATCCTTCCTTTCCACTTCTCCTGTACACACATTTTTAGCCGTACAGTACACGTTTTTGATAAGTGCTTCTTTAATGTGTGAAGGATGACAGGAGAGGTAGTGAACTAGAATGTTTTTACCAGTTTGCTAAATAACCACTTTCTGAGGGTTTCATTTGGATGTTAAGAATGGAAGCCAGTTCTCCGTTGGTTTTTCTGGTGTAAATTTTGTATACTCTGACTATCCGTTTAACAGTTCAAAGCACTCATCCATCTGTTGTTATGTGGAACGATGAAGTGTCTGTCCTGATCCTAGCGCACGAATCGAAAACCAGCGCGCAAAACTCTTGAGGCGTTTTGGACAACTTTCAAAAATCCAAATATGAACCGGAAAGACGGATACCTCACTATCACACGTGACCTGGCGCGCTATTTCAAAATTATATTTTGTCTTCTGGGTGTGTCTTGCTCGCGAACCCACGTTAACAACGCGTGGGCGAGACCCACTCGTAACGTCACGGTGAGCAACCCCTTTTTGTTCAGTATGGCGTCTGTTTAAAAGTTTGATCTTCATTGATACTTAACCTTTTTCCATCAAATAATTAAAGTATTCTTGTGTAAAATACTTCAGGCTCTGAGGAAGGCGAAATCGTCGAAACGTCAGCCATCGACCAGCAACACCAACAACGACAACGGCAACGAAGACATATATCAACCTCGCATCAATTAAAGAAGATGAGCTTATAAGATCATATAAATAAATATATCAACTATCTCTGCCGAGGTTTATACAAAGTCGGTCTTTTGAGTTTAATGACTGTATGAGCAGTGGCCAATACTCAGTTGCAGTAGATTTCTCAACTACAGCGAAATTTATTAACTGAAGAGGTGAACGGTCCTACCTACATTCGTCTATGACATGGATCACAAATACGTTCGCGCAGATTGCAGGTGGTCGCCCCATAAGACGTATTCCCACCTTGGGTTCTCCTTTGACGCTCTTTTCGACAGTGTGGTGTCAAGTAGTTTCTCTTCGGGGTTCGGGAAAGTGGTGGTGGACCTGTCTGAGAAGACCAGCATAGACTTTCAACATCAGTAAACCGATGAAAGTCATTGTATAGACCAGATATCAAATCACCTCTAACAATGCTTGAGGAAATCAGATGCATAGCACATGTCTCAGGAATCGAGTGGGGCCGAGAGCTCCATTATTATCCTCTGTCCCATGTGTGTATGTATTTTCATTATTCTCGAAGAGAAGACTTTTTGTAGGTCGCAAATGCGTAATTCAGTTTAATTTCGCTTATGACAACTCGTTCATCATTCAATCGCCCTTTTGGTAAAAAAAAGTGGATAAAGCTCTCAGCGTTGATCATTCTCTGAAAGATGCTCCATGCATTCGACTTCACTAAGCATCGTTGGAGGTGATTGAATGCATATTTGGCGTTTGCGATGATTTACAGTGGCCAACCGATGTATCGAGGCTATCCTCCCAGATAGGTCTGATACCAATCTGTCGACCCCGGAGGGATGGAGGGTTTGGTGAGCTTTGGGCGCGGGGATCGCTTTCACGAATTTTGCTGGGCGCCTTCGACCACTGCGTTATACGCGCCTTTTTGATAGCGCATGAAATTTCACAGCTAATACCAAAAAGGTAAAACAAAATTTTCCGCCCTATAGGAAGCTCATGCGCTTCTCTACACAGTATTTTCAGTTCTCCGAAAATCATGTCATAGTCCTCACTCCAGCCTTTAATAGGCCGTTCATGTTGAAAGAGTTCCATCCAGAATACTGCCACAATGTTCTTGGCCATGATGGGAGTTCTTTCCCATTACAAGCCGAGTAGAATTTTCGCATGGAGAAGGCGACGATGAAATCTTATTTCAATGTCGAAACTATCCTCTGTAATTTTTTTCGTATTTTTGTTGAGCAAACGCGAGGTGTTATTATTCTTTGTTCACGATTAAGCTGACGTTTCGGCGGATTTCGCCTTCCTCAGAGCCGCTTCCTATGAGGTTTCCACTAAGTATGTCACGTAGAGACCAACCGCACAGAAATCACATGGAAGTATAATGTATAGTATAGTATTTCAATGTCTCTCTTCATATGTATAGTATAGTATATATATAACATTGCTTAATCGTGAACGAAGAATAATAACACCTCGCGTTTGCTGAACAAAAATACGAAGAAAATTACTTGATCAATGCCGAGGTTAATAGAAAGTCGGTCGTGGCAGTTACTATCCTCTGTCTATGAAGACGTGATTGACCTCCATACCATGAGTCGTCCCATTAGGCGATCCCTATACGACTATCAGTCCTTATAAAAAATCTGCGGTGTAATGTGGACGACAGCCCCGCAAGACAAGTCTCACTTTCCGATCTTGCCTTCACTTCACTGCCTTCCCAATTTAGCGCTGAACCCAATGGCATGAAATTTATTGAAGGAATTTCCACTGCAGACTATCCTCGTCAATAGTCTCTCTCTCAGCATCTGCTGAGATTGAATTGTAATGGTCTAATGATCTGCA